TATTCATTTACCTACTCAAATTAAGGGTGACTACACTTAATTTAAGAAATTTTTACTTATTTCTAGATTGTTTTTGCAGTGTGTTAACATTTAGACTGTGATTAAATTTTTAATTGTTTCAAGACAATAGGACGATCCATATTAACCTGTTTTAAGAACTGACCCCATCGCATTAACATATTCCAGCTAATCAACTGTGACTGCATTCAAATTGATAGGGTTATTGAGATTGTGTTTTGCTTAATTCTGTGACATTTCTAACCCTATTTTGAAGTTTTTGTCATTCACTACACCTAAATAATTAAATTAATTCTAGCTACGAAAAACAGACTAGTTTTAAGCCTTTAAATGAACTGGTATCAAGTACATTTGCCTTGTTTTTAAGCCTGTTGTTTGCTTGTTTTGAGCAATAATCGGTTAGAGGACATTTAATTCTAAGCAATAATGACTAATAAATGAGAATACATTGCTTAAAATAAGAGAAAAAATCTTAACAAGTAAAAGCAGAAATAGATTTTTTGGATGCTTACTACTCAGATATTATGTTCTTGTTTTAAGAAATCTTACCAAGTCTCATTTGCTTGCTGCACTGGCAGATTATTTTGCTCAAAATAAGCAATTATTCACTTAACCTTTTATAGGGCAAGTGACCGTTTTTGATCACTTGCATACCCCTTAGAAATGGAGCCCCCACCCCTGTCCCTCAGTGAGGTCTAGAAGCACAAGATCTATACCCAGCCATTCAGCATAGATCCTGCTACATGGCTGTGCGTCTTATTTTGGCATTTGACCAATTAGATGAGCCCTTGAATGATATATTACCTTCTATAAATTAAGTTGGAAAAAAGAATAACAAGTCAAGAAAAAAGGTAAAAAGCTCATTGAAAAGTTAGAAAGTGAAGCTAAAGGGTTAATAAACCTCTAAGGTTATGCTGTACCAAAAAAAATGTGTTTCTTTCACTCTCAGAGTGTTTTTCATGAATTTCTTATAGATTTTTCTTAATATTTTTGGGAAAGTTGGTGTTTCTTGTTATTATATTGACATACATTTTTGCCATCAAAATATCCATATATTTTTTTTAAATGTTACAAAGATAATAAGGTCCTGGATTCCAATAACACACTACAAAAAAATCTAAAAACTAGTGAAAATGTCTTAAAATACGTGTATTTACCCTTAATTTGAGTAGATAAATAAGAAAATCTCCCAGTGGAAGGAACATTTTTATCCTTATAATCTGATTCTTTGATATTATGCACTTGAAATAGGAGACTGCACTTTTCCCCTTATTTGTATATGTTCTTATTCCATTTGCAAAGTGTCTCATTTACCTGCTCAATTCAAGAAAAACTGCACTTATTTAAATAGAAAATTACTTAATTTAGATATTTAAAGTCTTTGACTGAGTGCCCTATAAAGGATTAAAACACTATATTTTTTTCCTATTTTTTAGAAGGCATTTTGTAATGTCTGGGAGCGGCCATTTTTGCTCAAATATAGTAACCCCTCCCTCCTGCCATCTTCCAGCAGTGACGTCACGGTGCGGTAAGCCTAGCGCCATTCTCCCCGCTTTACAAGCTAAATCAATGGGANTAGCCATAAATAGGTCTACATTGTAAAACTTCTTGTGATCGACTGAAACTCCGCCCGCGATCCACTGGTAAACCGCCATCGACTGGTTGGGCACCCCTGCAGTAGCTTATATAGCGTACAAAGAGTTAAAGCAAGATGTCATTAAAGACAAAAATATGACAGACAATATAAAAAGTGTATATAGTATAAAAAAGCAGTAAAAAAAGAAAAAAGTTGTAATTTCCGTGCACTGCAAAAAATCTAAACCTAGATTAGTCATTTTTTCTTAAAATAAGTGCATTTGTTCCTGAGTTGAGGAGGTAAAAGAGACATTTTGCCAATGGAACAAGACAATTCACACTTAAAATAAGAAAACACAATTGCATTGACTTATTTCAAGTACATATTATCTAATTATCTTATTTTAAGATAATTCTCATTCCATTGGCAAACTATCTCATTTACCTGCTCAAATTAACGGTGAATACACTTAATTTAAGACATTTTTACTTATTTCTAGATCGTTTTTGCAGTGTGAATATTCTTCCCTTTGATATAAAAAATAGATATATATCATCTAGTGTTCCCTGGATATTAAAATGTTTCTCTACAAACAGGAAAACAATGATTTACACTAGTTGAAGCAGATCTAATTGTTTAATAGAATTGCTTTGCATGGAAATCAAACTTTTGATACCTCTACAGCAGGAAGCTGCAATCTTTAAGATCCAAACAGAAACGCCCCCATGCCCCCCCCCCCGCTCTTTTTTTGATTAGATTATTAAAATTCTGCCTAAATATAATTTTCTATGTTCCTATTAACCTTTTATGATATTTTAAAACTCAAAAATACCTCAGAAATGTTGACATATCTACATAATATTAATACACTGCTGTTATATTTGTCACCCATGGATGTTGCCATCTTGAAAAGTCGACCACGCCTCACTGCGTCTATAACGTGTTTTGAGGCGTTAACGTGCGGTTTCTGTCGAAGCAAACAGATGTGATCAGCTGGTGATCTATGTTTATTAGCTAGCGCTAACGCCATAAAAATCGCTCAAACTTTCTGAAAACGTACATTTTTTCCCCCCCCCGTCTTGTCTGCTAACTGACGTCCATCTTTATTTTCAGAGCATAAAGTCTACACCTACGATGACAGCGAGAGCCCAGGGGGGGGAGCTGTCCAGCTGAATCCCCGCCGCCCTGACCAAGTCTCCCTGCTTCAAGAGTCGCCGCAGTCCGACGACCAATCGGCGAGGCAGAAACCGTCCCGCTGCCTCAGCGATCCCGGCCCCAACGAGGAAGAGGAAGGAAGCCGTGATACGCTGTCGTGATGAAGGGCGCTCGTCTAGGCTGCCGACGACGTTTGTTAGTGATGCGTGATATGAACCGATGCAGGTCCGCGTTTTCAGAACCAAAGAAATCTTCAGGGGTTGAGCGGTGAGGCGGGCCGAAACGCCACCTCCAAAAAGCACAAAGGAGGGACTTCTCTCTTAGAGTAACACTGCAAAAGTCCTGAAGCAGATTGTTTCTTTGCATTACTGCTTCCAGGAAGACCTAGATTATTCGTTAGTCGCATTTCTGACGTAGACCGTCTGATGCTCCAGTAACTGCCTGATGATGTTCCACCGCTAACGCCCTCTGGTGGCCGGGTCAGACTTCTCTCCTCGTTTCCAGCCTGAAGCTTTATTACATCAGGATGTTCCATTTGTTGAGACTCTTAGCCAATCACACGCGTTTGAAGATTAAATTAAGTGTGTTTTAATGCGAGCTTCTGCTAAATCTTTGCCTCAATATATTTGTACCTGCTATTTAAAAACAACTAAAACCTTCTGAAGGATTGAATGGAAACACTAGGTGATAAAAATCAATCCCATCATCCTTCACTGCTGCTCAGACAGAAAGCACAGATCCAGCCCTTCAGGGGAAAACTGCACACATTGTTTTAACCTTTAGTCCAAATGAACCCAACTACCTTCTGTTCTTCTAATAGCCGCTCCCTGCTGCGTCATTTACAGACGGAGATGTGGCGTTTCTTCATCTTCATCTTAACTGAGTTTGCTTTAAAACTTTAAATGGAGGTTTAATGTTTGCACCTCCTACAACTGAGCTGCCTTAGCTTCTGCTGCCTGTGTTTTCTGCTTTTATGTTTGGTGTTATAAACGTCTATCAATTGAAGAGCTTTAATTAAATAAAAAGGTTTATGGCTAAATGTTTTTCAGTTTGTTGTTTCTGTGGGTTTTAAAGGAAAAGTCGGTCAGCAAGAAATAATCAATGGATCATTATTTATACCTAATATTAATACACTGGCAGTGATTCAATGAATTTAGCGTTAATAGATAAAAAAATAAAAATAATTTTTGTTGCGTTCACTGACTGCAAAAAAGGAAAATCTATACAAGTGTAATAAACT